GGATACTAAAACAAACAAACATATAACTATAACTGTATGTTCTGTCTCGAGCTTTTTCCTAGAATTTTATAAAACGTGACAATTGGCGCCTGGTAGGAATACAGGCTGGACGTCTAGTGCACACGTGAAACACGAGACCGTCCCTTTGAAAACGGAACGTATGGTCACACTAAATAACATCAATATGGCAGTTATCCTGGCCACCCGCTTGAACGTCATCGGCCTCTGTTATCTGTTTTCACTAACCTGATTTACTAACAGCTTGTCCCGAACACTAACCAATAAAATTGGTTAAATTACCAGTACTAATTTAAAGAAAGTTGTAGCGAGAGCTTGTTCACGAAATATGCCGTGCAGTCAACCGACTTAAGCAACCCCATTGCTCCCGAGGCAGCTGGTTAAATATGCGAGAATTCTAATTATTAGCACAAGTCTGTCACAATTGTTCCCGCTGGAATCAATCACTGGGTGCAGGCGGCCAAACATCTACACGTTACCCTTGCTAATGTAATTCTTGACGATTCCAACTGAAAGTCAGACTTTGTTCTCGTTTGCCTTGTCTTCGACAATAACCCACAAGGTCATGGGGACACCACTGACTGCTGTACTGTTTGACGCGTTTCTGCATAGTTCTCTCTCTTTACCGTTTGAACATTGGCAGTGTTTTCTGAACTATTTCTGTCTCTGAACATTGTCTGATAGAGTTTTAAAAAGATACCCTGGTAGTTAGTGCCCTTGTCTGCCTAGTAGACAATCAGTCTCCAGCTTAGAAGTGCAGATCATCATACAATAACGTCAAAATGAGAGGCGAAGGGAAGATCAGGGAATGAGAGACAAATCTAACTGGCTGCCAGAGATGAGAAATTAAGTCAGAGCAGGTGAGACGATCTTGTTGTACACACATGCTCTGACCTTGTACAAACCCCTCGAACCCTGACAATACGTTCGTCTGACTAAGATGATTTTCAAAACAACCAGTCGATTTTTTGGGTACAAAACAAACGAAAATTTTCAAAGAGCAGTCTGCCCAACTAACCTTCTCACTTCTCCCCCCCCCCTCCCCCATCCCTATGTCTAGTTGACGTCCCTGGCAGATCTTTCACTAACTGACTTGAACCCCCTAATAGACATCGTTCCAACAGTGTCACGTCGATTAGTAGGTCAACTGGTTTACTGATTGTCAACTTTTTTCAATGATAGTATCTTTTAACCATGATCACATAGAGCAAATTGTAAACATTTTGTTCTGTTATAAACTTTTTATGCAACGTGTCAAATATTTCTCCCACTGACATGCACTTAACTCACTAACTTGTAACATTTTTCACAGTTAGTCATTTTTGTGTGTGGTCAAATCTGTTCACTGACAGTATCTTTTCAATATGATCACATAGAGCCATTTTTACATGTTTTGTTCTGTTGACAAACTTTTCACACAGCTGGTCAAACTGATGGCCACTTGTTTTCAAATCTGGTATCAACGGGCAGTTGCAGAACTTTCCCTAACTTGTAAACCTTTTCACACACATTTTTTTTTTTTTGGGGGGGGGGGGGGGGGGGTCAAATGTATTTACTTATTGTTATTATTATGGTAAACTTCTCATATATATCCTCAACTATTTCCCTCACTGACAGCTATATTTTTAACATAAGCAACGTGTCTTTATTTCTCTCTGTTAGTGTGTCGGGTAGATTCGCTTTAATCTAGCGAATGCATTATGTGCAATCTACACAGGGAATCGCAAACATTGAATCATCCTAAAAGTTTATATTTCTCCCAGCCTTGCTGGTTAAAGAAGGAGATTCTGGGTTTGCCTACACCTGATTCCCTACTGCTATATAAATGGTATACTTAAATGTACTAAAGTTCACTGACACAAATGATAATGATTAGTTAAAATAAACTCCATAAAACTGCAAGGACAATTAAAACAATCATAATATAATAATTCAATCATAACTAATAATTATCCTGGCTGTGGAGATAAAATTGGTCACTGTTTATGGATGGGAATAGTAGACAAATCTGTCCACTTAGCTGTAGCTCGGGTTCCTTTGGTCAGCTTCTAGCTAAGCCACGGAGACACATCAGGCAGGCCGACTCTTCCAGTCCAGTACAGACAATCGGGCATCTGCAGCTACGCTGGGATTTACTTCTGGAACTTCCACCTGGAACTAGAACAATAGAACAGTCCCTGTACAAGCAGTTAGGAAAGTTCTCACTGGAGACAACAGTGCCTCTAGTCCTCATATAATGTTACACTACACACACATATGGAGTAGGGTAATCATAAGTGTTCACAATCTTTACTGGTAGAGAACGGGAATGTTTACAGAACAGGGTCCATATCCTTGATGGGAAATATTTCGAAACATCAGTTTCATGAATACCTTTAAGCACAAGAGTTTACATCACACAGTAAGAAAGAACATTCATCAGTGTTAATTGTTCTGATCTCTTCAACTAGTACTCCTTTACTGGGTTAACATGCTTACACACACAGTCACATTTCACAACATATTCTCATTTCAACCACATGGGTTCAAATCACAAAGAATACGAATCAGGGAGTGAGTTTACATAGGCCGCAAAATCATAACAGATGCGTTGCACAGTTTGACAATAAATGGGACTGGACATACCTCAATCAATATAACTGGGTGTTGGGATAGATGTCATAACACAATCATAGATGACAACGGGCTTTCCATCTGTCACAGTATTAACATAAAATATACAACACTAACTCCAGTTTAAATCTGAATCCATACATGGGCTTAATCTTATTCAACAGAGTTTAGAAGTTGAGAAGGGTGAAATATAATTATTAAAATTGTAAGGCCACCTGCTGTGGTACTGAAAATATATTCCTAGTAATGGGGGAATATATATGCACCAAAAATTATTACAAGCATGGGCCATACACCTCTCTTCTTCTTCTCCGACAGAGTAAATATTAAATTCAGCCACCCTGTGGTATTTTAAGCTCTTAAACTAGTCTCAGAATTATCTGGACTAAATCTAAATTAAAGCAAGACAGTGATTTATCACGCTAATATCACCATAAGCCAAATGACCTAGTAAGGATTAGGTATAATAAATATACACTTCATTCCTTTATTAATCGCCTCACCAAGCTGGGAATTGGAACTGACCGAGATTTCACACGAGGACATAAATTCTCAATTTATATAATTATAATAATTAAAAATAATAATTCACGTTTCTTGTATCCAATAAACATTATATCAATCATCAAATAGATCATATGCTTACATACTAGATCATAAACGTGGTTAGTTAGGATAGGGGAATTTATCAAGGATTGTCCCACCATGTGGGCATCAAATTTCATAGAGTTCCACAGATAATAATTCAGAGGAATTAGCAGCAATAGATCAAATTAAAATAACACTATTAAGTCATCCCTGGTTGGGAATTCAAACAGAAAACAAGACTACAGTACTGACTAACAACTTTAGTATTTACTGAGTCAGTTGAGCATGAAAAAACGAAAATGACTGTTTCCTGCCTCAACCATGTGTCTGATTTGAAAAGCGGAGGTCTAAAAAGGGGCAAGTAACTCTGAGATACTCCTCATTTATCTCCTTCAACTTTGAATTAATTAAGTATTAATAATGCTAATAAAAAGCAATAAAGAAAAGTTTAGAAATTTAATAATATTGTTAATACAAAGCAACACTCAAGGGGGAAAAAACAGCTGTCCAGACTAGTTCGTCACAATCAGACAGCTAGACAGGATTTTCATGGTTCTTACAACTGGTCAACTTATCAAATATTTTACCGCTTTCACCGCTGGTCATTTTTTTAAAACTGCCAGTTCACTGCATAGGGAAACATCAGTTACTAAAGATCAGTTGTTTGCTAGGTCAGCCAATACATTACCTTGCCTGTCTGATATATATGTGGAACTGCTGACGTTGACTGATATTCGGAAAAAAAGTGGATTTAAAAAAAAAAGTTGATTTTTAAAAAGAGTCTGTCTAACTAATCTTTAACTGTTCCCTTTTCTCACTGTCCAGAGCTCTGGCAGATTACCAACGGATATCTTTTCAACATTTTCAGATAGATTTTTGCAACGTTTATCAACTTTCTAAGCGGTTCAAAGCTGCCAGAGACCTCATCATTAATCCCATTTTTGATATTTTCAGCATGTATACTAACCCATTAAAGGCCACTTCCAGTTGTTAGGTTTTTTTCAGTTTACCTTTAAAAAAATACAATAATTGTTAACGTGACAATAGATCAGATCTGTGTTACGTGCGTTTACTTCCAAAGTCAATCAAATCTACTTAGCGAAAAAGGAAATAATGCATGATTGAAAAGCAAAGCCTGTTGATAACATCGCTGAAATTTGTTTTTCACGTGCAAGTCGTGACTGCAGTAAACCATGACAGCCACTTTTTGTTTCTTTTAAAGAAACAACCAATGCGTATGTTTGTAACTTTTCACATTTTACCATGACTCACTGAAGACGCCTGACCAATGCTGACAGATGGAGAGCGACAAAGTGGCTACAGGTCGACGTAGGGCTGCGGGAAGTTTGCAAGAGATAAGGAGTTGCCCACTCTGTCAAACATACTTTGCGTGATCGTTATAATGCAACCGACAGTTACGCAGAATTTCGCAGAACAATGCAAGTCAAGACATTTTAAGCATACCATAAGACGGCAAGACACATCTGTTTGTGGCGCTAGGTCTCAGAAACAAAAAAAAAAAACAACAAAAATATCAGAGTCAAAGCCTTCTGGACAAAACAGCGAGCAGCCACCAGTGGTGACCCAACTATGTGAAACCGTCTGAGAGATGCAGGTCTGCGACCCATTATTTGATAAGTCCTGATACTATCTCATCCCACCGCTCTTTGGCTCGGCGTCATGTGACCCAGACAAAGCATCCATCAGTGGAGCTGAGTTCTGTTCACAGTTGATTCCTGTTTCACCAGATCATTCACAGATGGAAGCAATCATGTCTGGAGTCAGTGATGGTGTGTGAAGAATCATGTGACCCCGAGAAAACCCTTGTATCCAATACATGGTACATTGAATGGTGTGGCCTACACAAATGGCAGCTCACAACAATTTTCTCCCACAGCAATAAAATGTCTTGGACCCGATTCTATCCTGCAGGACGAAAATGCCCGACCACACAGAGCTGGGGCGTAAATGATTTCCAACAACAACAGCATATCCCCCGGTTAGACTGGCCAGCCTATTCTCCTGATCTGAGTCTGATAGAGCATGTGTTGGATGTGCCAGGACTTAGACTTAAAGAACCCCCACCCCCCCCCTCCCCCCAATACTAACCGCAAACAGTTGTTCTTCTTCCTGGTGCAGGAGTAACAAGCGACCCCAGATATTACTCTAAGAACTCTTGTCTTATCAATGAGGCAAAGATGCCGCGAAAGCATTTAAGTTCATGTTGTAACACTCGATCCAGCTAACTTTAATATTTTTTTAATTTTCAAACAGAGAGGTAAGACAATATTACATACATGGGTTTTCGTGTTATTGAAATCACATGTTTTTTCTTTTTTTCAATGGTAATATAGTGTATACGAAAACAGTTTATGACATGTCTTTTCCATACATGACTGACCCAGCTACCACCACTTAAACTGTCCCAACACTCCCAGTGCGATGGTAGCGCCCCCAGTAGGAAAGACTCGTCCAATCAGTACACTATTGCAGCTCTTACTTTATTTAATTTTTAATTGTAGTAACCTTATTGTTACTTTTGTTAAAAATTTCTATAATTGGACCATCCGTTGTCGAAAGTGATGAAAACCGGGAAACTGAAACTAAACAACAAACAAAATATATCGTCAAAATTTTTTTTAGCGAGGCCTTGAACCCAAGACCTTCGGCACATCAGTCCGGTCAAGAACAAGCATTTATAAAGAAGGTCCATTTTACGTTTCTCAGCCCAGGATGAGAGTGTCTTCCCTTGCCGTTTATGAATCGCGGTGTCACAGGGCTTGTCCTATGTTGCCGCGACGCGGTCCTAACACTTGCAGAACTGGCTCTAACATATCCCACCACCCCCCCCCCCCCACCTGTCACACGAGAGGGTGCAGTCTACGTCACGCGAGACATTGCAGCCTACGTACCACAACTGCTTGCAGCCTATAAATATAACATACGCTGCATACAATCGTGCAACATATGCTGCATCCAGTCGTGGCACGTAGGCTCACTCTATCGTGAAACGTAGGCTGTACTTTCTCGTGGGACGTAAAATGTGTGTGTGTGTGTGTGTGTGTGTGGGGGGGGGGGGGTTAAAGCGTCTGTTACAAGCGCTCACATCCTGGAATAAACAACACGCGATATCACAGGCCCGTGACAACAACTAGTTAAAGGCTAGGTGCTGGTAGCCGGTCAATAAACGCGACATAGGACAAGCCCAGTGACACGGTGATATATAAAGGGCAAGGAAAGTCACTCTCATCCTAGGCCAGGAAACGTAAAATACACCAAAATAAACTACATAGTAACTAGCAGACAAGACAGCAGATAATTTACACACACGCACGCACGCGGACACGCACGAATGTACACACACACGCACACACACATACACACACAGAGAGAGAGAGAGAGAGAGAGAGAGAGAGAGAGAGAGAGAGAGAGAGAGAGAGAGAGAGAGGGAGAGAGAGAGATTTGTAAGCTGTAAGCACATGCCGTATTTAAACTCCTCAGATACCACCCATTGCGTGCCCACATTTTGAAAGAAATAAAAAGTTGCATAGAGGTGATTGATTGATGAGCCATGTAGTTCTCTCCCTTCTTGCCCATTGACACACATTGAAGTGACTCTTCCCCCAAATGCCCCAAAAATGCGACATATTTAATTGATCCCCTACGCAAGAACAACAAAAACATGTCATTACCGGCCAGGTCTGTCATAGACCTCCATGTCCAGCTTGCCATATAAATCGCATTTCTCTTCTCTTTGCTCACATCCTAATGAAAGATTATTAATGAATACATTGACACCCAAAAATCTGTCTGTTTCAGGTCGATTACAGACATTACGGTGCATTTTTGTGTCGTATGAAAGCAAAACTTGCAGGATCATTTCTTATACTATCTGCTACATGATACACTTATCATGGTAAATAAGGTAAATGACCCTTTGTCCACCCCTTCAGGCACTTGATGGTCAGCATTACGCCGACCGCCTTTACTTCCCAGGACTGTACCTGGTACCTACCAAAGTCTGGATCGACATGGGAACCAAGGTCATTTTTGAAAAAAAAGTCTCCCCTCCCCTTTCCCCTCAGGACCCGAAACCACACCCTTCCGATCGGCAGGCGAGTGTCTAGCTGCTAGACCACGGCAACTCCCGCATTACACACTTTGAGTTACAAATATAGTTCATTTAGAAGGCTTTGTGACTGTGCCCAACGTGGTTGGTGTTGTTAACTGCAGATTAAGAAAAAGTAGTTTGTTGCCAGATAAATTATGGTGCCTTTTGTGATTAGTTGCGAGTGCAACTACTGATCTGGTGTAACTGCTGCTTCTATCGACGACGATCTGCATTTCTAGTGTCGGATTATTTGTGTTGGCACTTCTAACAGCTGCCACTTGCATTTAATTCGCCTGTATACTTTTAGTTTTTTTTTTTTTCTAAAGAATTGTACTGAGAAAAGCTTACTGTTAATGATAGCATTGTCACGACTCTCCAGCTACTCAATCAATCAATCAGGTGCCGTCTCCACAATGAAGGTTGGCTGCAACCTTGATGTACACTCACTCATACTGCTGTTCGTCCATCTCTTCATGTTATCCTCCCACTTGTAACGCTTTCAGCCTCTTGCTCGCCTATCTTGAACCTTTCCCTCTAGGATGATCTTTACAATACTGTTTAATGTGACCAACAAATTTCACTTGTCTCTTTTTTATTTCAACTAGCAACTCTCTTTTCATTCCCAATTTCCTCAGTACCTCTGTATTTGATAGCTTTTGTTTCCATGAAATACGACCTAATCTTCTGTATATCCACATCTCCAAAGAATTGATACGACTTTCCAGTTGTTTGTTCATTGTCCATGTCTCTGTGCCATACAGTAAGGTTGAGAATACATAACATTTGACAATTCTCATTTTTAATGTATTGCTTATTTCTCTTGATGTCAGTAACTTTTGCATGTTGTTGAAAATGTTTTTGGCCATCCCTATTCTTTTCATGACTTCTGTTTCACTTCTGCCGTCACATGTTATTACCTGTCAAAGATATAAGAAATTTTCAACTTGTTCCAATTTCACTCCGTTCACTATGATTTTCATTGTTAGCTGATTATTTTCTTTGCCAAATATCATGGTTTTTGTCTTTTTCAAATTAATATCTAATCCAAATTCTGCACTCCTTCTGTTTACTTGCTCCACAAGGTCTCCAGCTACTACAGCTATATAAATCATCGTTCTTGAGTAGTTTGACGATAGGTAACAATATTTTCCATTTTTGGAATGTCTGCCTTGGTAGAGATATCCTTAAAAACCTTGCATAGCATATTTTTTTTGTGTGGCAGTTCTTGATAAATTTCATCTCTCCCAGGTACTTTGTCAAACGTTTGAGCCCTATAGCTTCCTTAACCGCTGCCTTTGAAAATGGCAATCCAGCTTTTTTTAAAAGAACCTTTCCCGCCTCAAGTATATCAGCGAGTACCGCTGGGTCTGGGCAGCTTAGCTACTCCTGGATGGTCCTTTTGTATCTCTCTAATCTGCCGTTCTCTACTGTAATCATGTTTCTATTCCTTAGTTTTAGAGACATATTTTGGAGTGATACCACATTTCCTTTCCATGTCTTGTGCTACACAGTTTTGATGTGGTGCTTCTTCTCTGCTTCCTTTGCTTGCTTTCGTGACTAGCTTTTCTGTAGAGGAAAGTATATATATATATATATATATATATATATATATATATATATATATATATATATATATATATATATATATATATATATATATATATCTGCTTTTGCTCCTGCTGAATATTCTTTGATGCTTATTCTGTAGTCAGCCTTTCTTTCAATCAGGGTGATTTTATATTTAACATTCGTCTTTTAATTTATTTACGTTGTGAAATGTTCTCCCACTTTGTGAAATTCACTCCTCTTTATCTGACCGCTCAACCCCCCCCCCCTTTTTCTTTTTTTTTTTTCAACCCCCCACCCCCTCCCCCGGCTAATCTTAAATTTGTCTAGTCCTAAGTCCGTTTCTTCGTGTAAAATGCTGAATCAACTTTTGAGTTCTATCCTAAATTTATGTTTGATATGAACATCCTGAAATTTGGCAAACCATACAGCTGCTGCTTTAGTTCTCTTAACTTAGCTTTTGAATATTTCACCGTGAGCTTCCCAATGAGAACATTGTGGTCATTTATGATATTTAGCTGAATAAGTGGGTCCATCTTTAGATCGTATCAGAGGAAAGAGGGTTCTCAAATTAATAATGTTATGTGTTGAAATCTCTGTCCCTGTGTTTTTCCAATGTTGCTGATGTGTTTTCTACCCGTGTTTTCCAAATGTTACTAATGTTCTTCTCATCCCCGTGTTTTTTAATGTTACTGATGTTCTTTTCTTCCCCGTGTTTTCCCAATGTCACTGATGTTCTTTTCTTCCCCGTGTTTTCCCAATGTCACAGATGTTCTTTTCTTCCCCGTGTTTTCCCAATGTTACTGATGTTTTTCCCTCCCTGTATTTTCTCGGTGTTAGTTATGTTCTTTTCCTCCCCGTGTTTTCTCATTGTTACTGATGTTCTTTCCATCCCCGTGTTTTCTCAGTGTTACTGATGTTCTTTTCCTCCCCATGTTTTCGCAGTGTTACTGATATTCTTTTCCTACCCGTGTCTTCTCAGTGTTACTGATGTTTTTTCCCTCCCCATGTTTTTTCAGTGTTACTGATGTTTTTTCCCTCCCCGTGTTTTCTCAGTGTTACTGATGTTCTTTTCCTTCTCGTGTTTTCTCAGTGTTACTGATGTCCCCCCCCCTTTTTTTTTCGTGTTTTCTCAGTGTTACTTATGTTTTTTTCCTCCCCGTGTTTTCTCATTGTTACTGACGTTCTTTTCCTGCCGTGTTTTCTCAGTGTTACTGATGTTTTTCCCTCCCCGTGTTTTCTCAGTGTTACTGATGTTCTTTTCCTTCTCGTGTTTTCTCAGTGTTACTGATGTTTTTTCCCTCCTCGTGTTTTCTCAGTGTTACTGATGTTTTTTTTTCCTCCCCGTGTTTTCTCAATGTTACTGATGTTCTTTTTCTGCCGTGTTTTCTCAGTGTTACTGATGTTTTTTTTCCTGCCGTGTTTTCTCAGTGTTACAGATGTTTTTTTCATGCCGTGTTTCTCAGTGTTACTGATATTCTTTTTGCTCCCCGTGTTTTCTCAGTGTTACTGATGTTCTTTTCCTCCTCGTGTTTTCTCAGTGTTACTGATATTCTTTTTGCTCCCCGTGTTTTCTTAGTGTTACTGATGTTCTTTTCCTCCCTATGTTTTTTCAGTGTTACTGATGTTCTTTTTCTGCCGTGTTTCTCAGTGTTACTGATATTCTTTTTGCTCCCCGTGTTTTCTCAGTGTTACTGATGTTCTTTTCCTCCTCGTGTTTTCTCAGTGTTACTGATATTCTTTTTGCTCCCCGTGTTTTCTTAGTGTTACTGATGTTCTTTTCCTCCCTATGTTTTTTCAGTGTTACTGATGTTCTTTTTCTGCCGTGTTTTCTCATTGTTACTGGTGTTCTTTTCCGCCCCGTGTTTTCTCAGAGTTACTGATGTTCTTTTCCTCCCCGTGTTTTCTCAGTGTTACTGATGTCTTTTCCCCCTCTCCCGTGTTTTCCATTTCTACCTGTGCAATGAATCTCCAAGGATTAATAGTCAATCATGTCTTGGATATGTCTTCTATTACTGCTTGCAAAATGTCGTAGAATGTGTCCGTTGTCTCATCGTCCATTGGTACACAATCAATCAAAACAGACAATCTGGAATATTTTTAACTTAATATTTATTACAAAAGCCGTCCTTTTGCTGTTTCCATTTCCGAATGTTTCCTTGTCAGCGCAGAAGTAAGGCATTGATGCATGCTACAGTAAAAACTCGTTAACACTAATTCCCTTAAGAAGAACATTTAGGTAAAATCAACACAATTGCGGTCCTATCAATGATGTATTATTACTAGTCCCCTGTTAGCTCAAACTGTTTCAACGCAAACTCAATTATTTGGTTCCTTAAAGATCAAGGAGGCCACAAGAAAAAAGAAAAGGTATCAAGTGGTCACTTACCTCAGCTTTAGAGGATTTGTACAACTCAGGTGACAACAGCCTCCATGTGGATGCTTGAGGAAAGATTGAGAGACTTTTCACAATCATTCCCTAGATATGATGAGATATAATCAGAAAATAGTAAATTCAGTTATCATAATCGACCAAGCAACAGATGATTTTGAAGAATTTATATACCTGGGAAATAAAGCGAGTCCACATGAAAAAACATAACTACACATGAAACTACACCAGGCAAGAGAAACATTCACATCTGTTCATTATAAGAGTTTGAACTGAGTTTCAGTGCAGTTAACGAAGATGTGTTTGGGATTGTGACAATACGCTCGGTGACTCCAGAATGTCTTTCCTCAACCTACTTTTATTTCTTTGTATTTTGAAAGTATACAGGAAAATAGGGATTTGGATACATCCTTAAGTAGGCGAAATGAACAAGCATTTAATTCTCCTGGGATGTTGGCGATATCACACACTAAAACTTTTTCCCAGTTGTTAAGTGTTGAGGTACAGAGATAAGACTGACCAAGCAGACTTACTGACTGGAGATTTGCACACCATTTGTTGGTGTCAGATAGTTATTCCCCCTGCCAGATCTTCAGGAACAGATAACAAGGGCTAATTGCCATTATCTCCCCCTGAGGTTACCTAACTCGAAGGCAGGTCCGACGGTCACTATTGACATAGTGAGCGGAAAGTGTTGGCAGAAGAATTGACAAAGTCGGATTTTATTGTGATGACAGGTGAAGTAGACTGGAGGTGTGACTAGGCCTATTAGCTGGGACCAGCTTAATTGAACCTGTAGAATGTGAGCGTGGGAATTTAAACAAGTGTTGTACAGCCCTGACTGACAGCGAATAAACTTACCCACAGGGGAGGAGCTGTGGCATCCTTGAATGAGAATGATTTTAGGCGTAATGTAGGAGGAGCTTGATAAAAGTTATAAAGGGCTGAACTCTAGGTCTGGTAAATGAGATCCTGTCCAGCACATGCCATCTGTTGGGCTTAACCTAAGCTTGAGACAGAACTTTTGGCATTGTGGTTTCATTTTTCCAGGTAAGATCGAAATTAGGTTCAAATCTATATTTTATGATAGAGATCTA